TCCCCGATCTTCACTGTTCATGGCTTATCTATGGGCTTGTTCTTCCATTTCACCCCAGTCTATCCCATAATCACTATCCCCATCTGATCCTATTGTCCCAAATATGCATATCATTCCGTCTTGCATGGAAAGTTGGGCTTTTAATTATTGCGTAGAGTGAAACTGTTCCAAGTCCATGCATATGCAGTAGAGATCACCATTTCAAATTTCTCTGGCTCAGAAACATTTAACCAGAGTTAGAGACACTCCAAGAATCTACCTCCTAAGATTTTGTACCTAGGTGACATTGTACCTAAGATGGTGCAGGGAATGGTAACTTTGTACACTTTTCACTGTACTCCTGTACCCTCGTACTTGAGTACACATGACAATAAAACCTAACTCTAATTCTAAACAAGAAGCTGACTATGGCCTCTCTACTCCTTCAGCAGGAGCCAAAAATTAGTGAACCTGGACAGCATCACAGAAGGACAATTTCAATTGTTGTGTGGAATGAATTTTACTCTATCAAGTGCTGTTACTTACTGAAGAGATTCAAGGGAGAGCCAATGTATGTAAATAGTGTCTCAGAGATAGTAGGAACTGCAGATGCTGGAGAATCTGAGATAACAAGGTGTAGAGCTGGATGAACACAGCAGGCCAATCTGATGCTGCTTGGCCTGCTGTGTTCATCCAGCTTTACACCTTGTTATCTATGTAAATAGTGGCTAGCTTTCAATTCAATGGTTAAGTTATTTGTATATAGTACTACTAAGCTTATTGATAAACATAAAGAAGAAAATTAGTCTATAGAGTGTTATTGTATATGTACAATGGAGAACCCAGATACTGAGGGAGTTAGGATATCCATCTGAGACTTTACATGTGCCTGCACAAGAGCGTGGCTGAGCCTGTGATTCCCTTTTCAGTAGACACTTCAAGGGATCAACTCGACTGCGATCAAGTGACCATAGGCTCAAAATGAGACATTCTAAATTCACTCACAGTCAGAGAAATCAAGCCTGATAGAAAACTGGCCGCACTAAATTAAACAGCAGCCAGCAGCTACCAGCTATCGAGAACAGTGCAAACCAAAATCAAAGAGGTTACAAAGGTTCAAGAGGAACCAGTTGTAATCAGTCCAAGTGTTGTATATTGGAGAAGTGTCAAACAGACTTTCTGGCACCTTGACTGCCCGAGAATGTGCACTTTACACCTCTCAGCATGGCAACTATGAAGGACATTGGCGCAACTCTATTGGATTATTTGAACCCAGCTCATGGCTCCATTGGCCTAAGGTCATAGTGGCAAGGGGACATACAAACATGCAACTAGACACCACCCCTTGAGTCAATGCACCTTCATGGAAGAGAACTAGCCCAATGTCAGGAAGGAATGAGATCCCAACAGCCCAGCTCAAACACATGGATCATTGCAGGTAATATCCTTTCTCAGATGGATAGAGCCAGATAGAGAGTAAATATTGTCAGAATTTGGGAAATGCTCATATGGTGTTTTTAATAAGGAATATTTTGTTAATAAAATCAAGTTGAACCACAAACCGAATTCTGTATCCCTTTGGGTCTAGGCCCGAAATGTCAGCTTTCCTGCTCCTCTGATGCTGCTTGACCTGCTGTGTTCATCCAGCTCTACACCTTGTTATCTCAGATTCTCCAGCATCTGCAGTTCCTACTATCTCTGTATCCCTTTGTCCACCTCATCAACAACAGCACTTGGGTGAAGCGTCCAAAGCACAGGCAACAATATAGATTTTCATCAGAGCTTTCCCTGCTGCTGGATTCAATGCGTTTACATTTAGAAAGCTTTGGAATCCTTCTCTTCAGATTTTACCACAAAAACAATCAGGCTTGTCCTGTCATTGTAGCCATTTTCCTCAACTGTAGCCTCAGTCTCTGTGCAGTTCAAATCCAATGACATCCTTTCTTTTCAAGCATAGAGAAGCACTTTGAGATTTAAAAAGCAGTCTTCAGATTCATATTAAAGTCTAAATTCTGCCAGCACAACCTTTGCAGCATCAATTGTTGGACTCAATAACGAGTTGCCATTTTCCGTGAGTACATCCATGGATATTTGAGTAGCTATCTATTTATAAGCAGTCAAGTTTAATTACTTTCCAGCATAAATAAGGAACTTTTGTTCTTAACTACAATTAGGACAATTATTTCTTCCTATTTTGTTTGGTTATTTATTTCTTAAGGGCTATCAATGGATGACTAGGTTCATTTTTCAGCAAACTGTATAATTTTTGATAGGCAAGTTTCAAAAACATTTCTTCATTTATTTTGGGCAGGCACAGTCCAGCAGCTAAACCAAACTCACATTCAATGCCTTCTATCCAGACAGGACCACAGTAGCACATTGCCCTTTTTATGTTAAGGGGCATATAGGAAAATGTCTCTTCTTTACCAATCTTGTCTCATGATGTAGGTTCTTCATCAGCTTTCTTGTTGGCATTGGTAAAAGTAGAAGTAGACACTGAGATTTTGTTCTTCTTTATCTTGATTCCTCAACGTATGATGATAACTTGAGGCCCAATTTTCTTCCAACTGTTTCTAATTGAGCAGGTCCCACTGGCTTTTCATGATATCCATTCCTAATTCTTTCCAGTTATCATATTTAATCTTTGGACAAAAGAATTATTCTGCAGGATTATCTTCACCAAATGTCCAACATGGTTGAATGACTCAATTTATTCAGAGGCTAATGGTCCTAGTGATCTAACTCGCTTATAAGCTCAGCAGTCGCCATTTGAAGTGTTACTTTAAGCAATCCAGCAGAAATGTGTGTGCTTTCTTTCAGCAGTGTTCTCCAGATCAAAGCTTTCTTCAAATTTAAACCAAAAAGAGGTCTCTTTTTGCATTGTCAAGAAATCCATCAACATCAAATGCCTCTTCAATCTGTCACAATTTGAGAAGCACTTTCATCACACTTTCCTCTTCGCTGTTTAACTTGAACCATTCCATACAAACAAAAGCATCAGGTTCAGATATTCTTAAATTGATTTAATAACTCCTCAAATGTGTGTATTTAGATTGGGCATGAACAATTATTATTATTTAATCAATGTACATCTAACAGATATGTAGATAAGAAGCAAAACTGCTCTCTTTTTTGGATTTTATTGCAAATTCATTTACCTTTGTCTATTTGCACACTGACTTAAGCCTCGACCCTTTTAATATTTTCCTATCATGCAAAATGTGCATAATTTAAAAAAACTAGTAACAAGGTAAGCCATTACCTGAGCAACAAACATGCTTTGTATGAAAATAATTTTATCAACACATTGCATTTTTACGTCATTACAACTAGTCAGTTCAAATAACAAGTCATGTTGGCATGGCAATAGCTCTCTGGCTTTATTTTCTGACACGCTGGAAGATTTCCATAAAATAATAACTAAGTGGAACAAAAGAAATATAACTGTTACACTGTACTAATTCCCATCACGGGCCATCTAGTGTTCATTTAACAATTGGTAAGTCGCATACATCTCAAATAACTCCTTCATGGTACCGTTAATTACACTAAATTTCATTTATATCAGCCTGTTTTATATGGCTTGATGATGACACCCAATTGTTAGACCAAAGGTTTATGTAAAGAAGTTTCTTGTTTCAGTTCAAGCATCAATATTTAATATGAAATGGCTAGCTTTGTCAGCTACAAAATGTTTTATTGGAATATAATTCATAAGTGGGTTAATTTTGAAATTTCTGTTGGAACATTTGCCACAGTAAGTTATTTCAGGGGTTAGAAAGACTCGTAACTCATCTGCAACTCAAGTTCCTGTAAGTGGTGATAATGTGATGTATAAGACCAGTGACAGTTGAGCACTTGGTTAAACTTTCTACTTCATCTTTAGGTGCATGGCCTTTGGCAGAAGCCAAGTTGTCTCTGGATTGATTCTCAAACACCATATGCAACTCCTCAGCACTAGCTGTTATTTCACAAGTATAAAATTACAGTTTTTGAATTTCACATATGAATAAACAGTTCTCTGGTCCATTAATTTACCAATCGCAACGATAGAAAAAACAATGGGCATGAATAAAGGATTCAATAGACAGTTTTACATTTACAGATTGAAAATTATGTTATTACAAGGAAAGTGAAGCTAATACAAAGTGTACTGCCAAAGGGATTTGTTTGTTTATACGCTGATGAGTGGACAATGATATAAAGAGTAAAATATTTATTCCAGTGGGGCATTTCTGATGCATTTTGGCATGGTAGGTTTATTGTTTTCCACATCAGGCCATGTTAAGACAAAAAAAAATTAAAATGTGTGCGTGCAGCAGTTGTGCTGTCGTAGCCAAAAGATTTCTGTGCAACAGCTTTTGGAGCACACTGTTCGGGATAATTCCAGGAACTCTGTCTTCTAAATGTCATGAAACAGCAACACAAGTTGGTTGTTGGGATGATAGCACTATATACTACTAAAGGTTTCATTATAAATTAAAAACATAGGAACAAGAAAGTGTAAACATATGTGCCACAGAAATAAATCAGTTTTGTTCAGGGGTGAAAACAAAATCAGAAGATGTAAAACTGCTTCAGTCTGTGCAAAAGCTTAGTTGTGGAAAGTCCTAAAGAAACTTATGCCGAATCTGAAACATTTTCACAAAAGAAGGCTGTTTTTAAATCGAGAACTCATTGGATTCAGCCTGACAAAAACCTGCAGAGGTTGTACATCTGGAGTTACTTTAAATTAATTGAAAAAACAAACTTAATGCCATTTCAGTTAATAGAGTATTGCCTGATGTGAATTTGCTTTACAATTCCATAAAAATAGGGTTTTGACTTCATGGCTTGTTAACAGAAAATGTTTTTATTCACAATGCAGACATCGAACAATCTAACATTTCTTTGAAAACAATTGTCAATTTGAACAAATATGAGAAATCAAAGTTCCGTTTAATGCTGCTAGAAATTACTCTTTCATGTCCTTGTGGAGTACAGTTTACATTGTAACAAAAATAAACCTTGCACCCACATGGTAGCTGTATTTATCTGAAGCAGACAATTAAGAGGCATTTTGGTTTGAAAGGATGTAAAAGTTATTACCAAACAGAAGCAGCTTGTTAAAGTACATTCAATAAGTCCACCATTGCCTTGTGGTAAGAATGGATGAAGACAGTGATAGAAGTTTACTGTTAAATCAGGTCCAAATTTGAGAAGTCTGATCAGCCTAGACAAAAAGAAAATAATTACAGGATGAAACTTGAGAAAAGTTCCAGATTGAAAGTTGAGAATTTGCAGCATTCAGAGCAGAATATTTTATTTTTTTCGAAAGAAAACATGAATGGAGAAAGTTATTTTAGCAGAGCAATCCTGTTGAATGATTTAACATGATAACCTGAAATTAAATGAAAAGTTGATGCTGAAGTAAATTACACATCCTAAAGTAATTCAATTTAGTTCATTATAACTGAATTCAAAAACATCATGGTTCCAATACAGTTACATGATTTAGGTATGAACTGCCTCTTCTTAGTAAAAAACAATCACACATATTATACTCAATATATAAATAATACTTTAATTAATAAAATGACTATATTTCTTTGCTGTTAGAACAGACATGGGATGGGTGATATAATTTCCTGCGCAGTCTAATAGACTGTGCAACCAACCTGCAGTATTTTTGTTGCAAATAAATAGGTAGGTGGATAAATTGAATGTCACATTTGGCTATATTACAACATCAATTACACTTCAAAATGAATCTATTACTTGTGAGTTCTTGGAATACAATGAAGACACAATGAGCATTATTTAGTAACGACACAATTACAATGAAAAATCTATTTAGTTAAACAACGTGTCTGCAATATTCCATCAAAGTTACAGCTGCAGTTCAAGTGAAGTAGGAGGTAAAGCCCATGTTCTATATATTACTTTCCTCTCTTTCTTCACTTGCTGCCATTTTACACAGTTTCATCAAAGAGAAGAATCTGGGCAGCTTTAAAAATTGACTGTGTATACTTTTATACATATTCACACCTCCATGCACCAACCAACAAATTCCCCCTCCCCCACCCCAGCCTTCCATGGCCACAAATGTTCTTTTAATTTTAAAGAGAATCTCTACAGTGTGGAAAGAGGCCATTCAGCTCATTAAGTCTGCATAAAGCTTCCAAAGAGCATCCCACCTAGACCCAGCATGCCACCCTATCTCTGCGATGCCAAATTTTACCATGCTAATCCACCTAACGTTCTCATTCCTGGACACCATGGACAATTTAGCATGGCCTATCCATTTAAGCTGCACATGTTTGGACTGCAGGCAGAAGCCAGGGCACCCAGTGGAAACCCATGCAGACGGGGGGGAGAATGTGAAAACCGTACACAGATAATAAGATAAGAACACATGATGTAAGGAATAACGGATCAGCTAACAGGATGCAGAGCATAGGGATAAATTGTTTTCTTTCCTGCTTGGCAAGTTGTCATAAGTGGAGTAGAAATAAGTGCTGTAGAAATCAATGCTGGTACCTCAACTATTCAGAATCAGATGGGTAAATGTGAAGTTGTTGACACTGATAGGAGAATAAAACAGCTATTTGAGTGGATTGTGGAACTCAGTGGTACAGAGGGATTTGGGTGTCCTGGTACATGAATCGCAAAAGTTAGTATTGAGGTACATCAAGTGATTAAGATGACAAATGAAATACTGTTGTTTATCGCAAAGATAGTGAAATATAACAATAGGGATGTTTTACTGCAGCTGCACAGGGCAATGGTAAGACCACATCTGGAATGCTTTGTATAGTTTTGATTTTGCTTTAGAAATAGCTCAGAAATGGCTGCTCAACTCAATCTCATGTTGAAGGGCTTGTCTTATGAAGAAAGGCTGAACAGGTTAGGCTAATAAGAATGAGAATGATCTTATTGAAACATATAAGATTTTGATAGGACTGGATAGGGCAGGTACCTAGACGATTTCTTTTCTTGCGGTGAGACTCAAAAAAGGAAAATAGTTTTAAGAATGAATTCTCCCTTTTAACACAGGAATGAGAAGAATTATTTTTCCTGAGGATTGATAAAGAGTGGAATTATTTTCTCCAGAAGGTACTAGAGCTTTGTCTTTAAAATTTTTCAAGGCTGAATTATATAGACTTTTGATAGACATGGAGTTAAGGACTATCATGGACAAATTGGAAAGAGGAACTGAGACGAGAGCCAGATTGACCATAATCATATTGAATGGTTCAACAATCTCAAAAGGCCAAATGGCTTAATCCTGCTGTAATGTTCTATGTCCCTATATTCCATTTCACTCAATAACTTGAGTCATTGTTGTCTTGATTTCCAGAAATTCTCACACATCTTACCTTACACTTGTTCTACCATAACTTAGTCTTAATTAATAATTTATATCTACTTTCTAATTTGAAACTCATTTTCTGAAATACTAACTTGCATCAAGAAATAAATCAGGCAGCACGGTGGCTCAAAGGTTCACACTACTGCTTCACAGTGCCAGGGACCTGGTTTTAATTCCAGCCTTGAGTGACTTTGTGGAGTTTATGCATTCTCCCCGTGTCTGTGTGGGTTTCCTCCAGATAGTCCGGTTTTCTCCAACAGCCCAAAAATGTGCAGCTTAGGTGGATTGGCTATGCTAAATTGCCTGTAGTGTCCAGGAATGTGAACGTTGCTTGGAACTTACATGGTAAAACGTGAGGTCCCAAGGATACGATGGGGAGCTGATTCTCAGTGGGATACCCTTTGGAAGATTTGTGCAGACTTAATGGGCTGAATGGCCTCTTTCCACACTGTAGAGATTCCCTTTAAAATGCAAAAAACATTGTCGCCATGGAGGACTGATGTGGGGGAGGGGTGTATTACCTTGTGATTCCTTATCAAATGTCTTTTGGAAATCCAGGTGCAACACATCTATTGGCTTCCTTTATCAAATACAAATCTTATTTTGTTAAAACTCTAGTAGATTAGTAAATATAAATTGACTTCCACCAAGCCATTTGGCACGGCCTGATCACATCATGATTTTATCGGTATAATAAGAACTGCCGATGCTGGAGATTCTGAGACAACAAAGTGTAGAGCTGGATGAACACAGCAGGCCAAGCAGCATCAGAGGAGCAGGAAAGCTGACGTTTCGGGTCTAGACCCTTCTTCAGAAATGGGGGAGGGGAAGGGGATTCTGAAATAAATAGGGAGAAAGGGGGAGGCGGATAGAAGATGAATAAAGGAGAAGATAGGTGGAGAGGAGACAGACAGGTCAAAGAGGCGGGGTTGGAGCCAGTAAAGGTGAGTGTAGGTGGGAAGTTAGGGAGGGGATAGGTCAGTCCAGAGAGGACGGACAGGTCAAGGGGTCAGGATGAGGCTAGGAGGTAGGAGATGGGGTGGGGTTGAGGTGGGAGGAGTGGATAGGTGGGAGGACAGGTTAGGGAGGCGGGTACGAGCTGGGCTAGTTTTGGGATGCGGTCGGGGGAGGGGAGATTTTGAAGCTTGTGAAGTCCACATTAATACCGTTGGGCTGCAGGGTTCCCAAGCGAAATATGAGATGCTGTTCCTGCAACCTTCGGGTGGCATCGTTGTGGCAATGCAGGAGGCCCAGGATGGACATGTCATCCAAGGAGTGGGAGGCGGAGTTGAAATGGTTCACGACTGGGAGGTGCAGTTGTTTGGTGCGAACCGAGCATAGGTGTTCCAAAAAGCGGTCCCCAAGCCTGCGCTTGGTTTCCCCGATGTAGAGGAGGCCACATCGGAATCAGCGGATACAGTGTACCACATTAGCAGATGTGCGGGCGAACATTTGCTTGATGTGGAAGGTCTTCTTGGGGCCTGGGATGGGGGTGAGGGGGGAGGTGTAGGGGCAGGTGTAGCACTTCCTGCGGTTGCAGGGAAAAGTGCCGTGGGTGGTGGGACTGGTGGGGAGTGTGGAGCGGACAAGGGAGTCACGGAGAGAGTGGTCCCTCCGGAAAGCAGATAAGGGTGGGGAGGGAAAAATGTCTTTGGTGGTGGGGTCGAATTGCAGATGGCGGAAGTGTCGGAGGATGATGCATTGGATCCGGAGGTTGGTGAGGTGGTATGTGAGGACGAGGGGGATTCTGGTTTGGTTATTATTGCGGGGAGGGTGTGTGAGGGATGATTTGCCGGAAATGCGAGAGACATTGTCGAGGGCATTTTCGACCACTGTGGAGGGGAAGTTGCAGTCCTTGAAAAATGAGGACATCTGGGATTTCCGAGAGTGGAATGCCTCATCTCGGGAGCAGGTGCGGCGGAGGTGAAGGAATTGGGAATAGGGGATGGCCTTTTTGCAGGAAGGTGGGTGAGAGGAGGTGTATTCTAGGTAGCTGTGGGAGTCGGTAGGCTTGAAATGGATATCGGTTTCCAGGTGGTTGCCAGAGATGGAACTAGAGAGATCCAGGAAGGGGAGAGAGGTATCGGAGATGGTCCAGGTGAACTTAAGGTTGGGGTGGAAGGTGTTAGTGAAGTGAATGAACTGTTCGAGCTTCTCGTGGGAGCACGAGGCAGCGCCGATACAGTCATCGATGTAACGGAGGAAGAGGTGGGGGATAGGGTCAGTGTAGCTTCGGAAGAGGGATTGTTCCACGTAACCTACAAAGAGGCAGGCATAGCTTGGGCCCATGCGGGTGCCCATGGCTACCCCCTTTGTCTGTACGAATTGGGAGGAATTGAAGGAGAAGTTGTTAATGCTGAGGACGAGTTCAGCTAAGCGGATAAGAGTGTCAGTGGAGGGGGACTGGTCGGGCCTGCGGGACAGGAAGAAGCAGAGGGCCTTTAGGCCACCTGCATGAGGAATGCAAGTATATAGGGGCTGGACCTCCATGGTAAAGATGAGGTGTTGGGGACCAGGGAATCGGACGTTCTGGAGGAGGTGGAGGGCGTGGGTGGTGTCACGGACGTAGGTGGGGAGTTCCTGGACCAAGGAGGAGAAAATGGAGTCAAGATAAGTGGAGCTGAGTTCGGTGGGCAGGAGCAGGTGGAGACAATGAGTCGACCAGGGCAGTCAGGCTTGTAGATTTTGGGAAGGAGATAGAAATGGACGGTACGGGGTTGAGGAACAATGAGGTTGGAGGCTGTGGGTGGGAGGTGACCTGAAGTGATGAGGTTGTGGATGGTTTGGGAGATGATGTTTTGGTGGTCGGGGGTGGGGTCATGATCAAGGAGGCGGTAGGAGGAGGTGTCGGAAAGTTGGGG